TTGACCATAATGTCCAGGGATGTTTAGGTTAGGTGGGTTAGACATGGGGAATTGCCAGGGTAGGGAGATTGTGGCATTGCATTAATATCATTGGTTAGTAACTAGAGGCTCAGGCTAACACAATGGGAAATAAAAAGAAATAAACCTGCTGGTGATGTCCAGCAGGCCTGGCAGAATCCGAATTTTTTTTTCCCCAAAAGAAGAAAGTCATATCAAAATATCATACTGGGCTCAAAACATTAGCACTACGTTGGTCTCCACAGATACTGCCAGGTCTGAGATGCTACAACAATTTTGTTCTTTCCAGCATCTGCTGAATTTTACTTCTATTTAATAGTGTGGGGCAGGAACTCAAATCCCACCACAGCAGTTATGAATTTACATTCAGTTAATAAATCTGGAAAATAAGAGATATTTCCATGATTACCATTCCTGAGACAATTACGGAGTTTTATAAACAACACTAAATCTCCTTCAAAGAGGAAATTTTGTTACTCTTACCTGGCCATCATTCCAGATCCACAGTAATGTTAAGTGCCTTCTGAAATGTCTTAGCAAGTCAGCAATTTTAAGACTAATTAAAGATGTATAAGCACAAGTTACTGTACAACAGGAATCCATACTGAAAACAAATGCTGGAGATCAGAGGGTCAGACAGCATCCATGGATAGAGAGCAAGCTAACATTCCGAGTCAAGATGACTCTTCAGAGCTGAAGTGAAGGGGACAGCATTTATGCTTTAGTTTGGTTGAGGGGTGGGTAGAAAGAAGGGGGTTGGGTGTAGGGTGCTTGTGGAAAACAGATGTCGATAGTTCAGACTAAGTGATTGGAACGTGACAATAGCAGAACAATGGTGTGTCTCCTCCCAGACTTGAAAGGACATACAGTCCCACTGGAAGTTTGGTGGCGGGGTGGGGGAAAGCACAGAGGACCTAACAGAATACGTAACAAGTTTTAAAAAAAAAATAGAAGAAATGAGAGAGTTTGTTCACAATTTGAAAGTGTTGAACTCAATATTAAGTCCAGAAGGCTGTAAAGTGCCTAGCCTGAAGAGGAGATGTTGTTCCTCCAGTTTGTGTTGAGATTCACTGGAACTCTGCAGTATGCCAAGGACAGACAAGTGGGCATGCAAGCAGGATGCTGTGTTAAAATGACTGGCTACGGGAAGGTCAGGGTCATGCTTGCGCACAGACTGGAGGTGCTCTGCAAAGCTGCCATCCAATCTGCATTTGGTTTCTCCAATTTAGAGTGAGCCACATTGGGTGCAGTGAATACAATACACAAGATTGGAGGTGGTACAGGTGAAATGTTGCTTCACCTTGGATGGTGAGCAGTTTGGAGGTGAAGGGACAGGTGTTGCACCTTCTGCAGTCACATGGGAATGTAGCATGGGGAGGGAGGTTGGTGTTGTTGATGGTTGTGAAATGGACGAGGGACTGACCCTGTGAAGTGCAGACAGGGAGAGAGTGAGGGGACGATGTGTTTGGGGATAGCATTCTGCTGGAGTTGTCTGAAATGGCAGAAAGTGATCATTTGAATGCAGAGGCTGGTGGGATGAGAAGTGAGGACAAGGGGAACCCGATCACACCGAGTGATGGGAAGGGGCAAGGACAGAAACAGGTGATAGGTCAGATGCGTTCAAGGGCCCTGTCAACCACAGTGGGTGGAAAACCACAGTCATGGAAGAAGAAAGCCCGTCAGCAGCGTTGTTTTGGAAGGCCGCTTCATCTGAACAGATGCGATGTAGTTGAAGGAACTGGGAGAATGGGATGGAGTCCTTGCAGTGGGATGTGACGAGCTGTACTGAACATGGCTATGAGAGTCGACGGCTTTGTGGTGGATGCCAGAGGACAGTTTATTCCCCAAAACGGAGACAGAAGTCAAGGAAAGGGAAAGAAGGAAGGTAAGTATCAGAACTTGATGATGTGAAAGTTAAGAGGTTTGGAAATTGGAAGCAAAGTGAACAAATTTTAAAGAGGTCCTGGTGGGAGCATGAAGTGGCACTGAAGCAGTCATCCATGTAGCAAGAAAAGAGTTTTGGGAGGGGGCCAGTGTAAGACTAGAACAAGGATCGTTCCACGGACCCCATAACAAGGCAGGCATAACTGAGACCCATGCAAGTGCCCATAGCCAGTCCTTTGACTTGGCAGAAGTGTGATGAATTAATGGAGAAATTGCTTAGTGACAGAACAAGTTCAGCAAGGCAGAGGAGTGTGTCAGTGGATGGGGATTGTTCAGGCCTCTGGCCAAGGAAGAAGCCAAGAGCTCTCAGACCATCATGGTGGGGAGTGAAGGTGTGGAGGGATTGGACATCCATGGTGAACAGGAGGCTGTTAGGGTCAGAGAACTGGAAATTGTCAATATGGTGGAGGGCATCAGTGGATGCGCAGATATAGGTAGGTAAGGTCTGGACAAGTGGAGAGAGGTTGGAGTCAACGTAGGAAGAAGTGAACTTGGTGGGGGCAGGAACAGGCTGATACGATGGGCTTACCAGAGCAGCCTGGTTAGTGGACTTTGGAAAGGACGTAGAAGGGCTGTCCAGGGTTGGGAGATTATAAAGTTAGAGGCAGTGGAGGGAAGATCTCCAGAGGTAATAAGGTCAGTGACAGTCCTGGCAACAATGGCTAGACGTTCAGATGTGGGGACATTGTCCGGGGCAATTGGAAGATGTGTCCAAGAGCTGGCATTGAGTTCTTCAAGGTAAAGATCAGCGTGCCAGATTACAACAGCAGCATTTTTGTCAGCTGGTCTGATAACAAAGTTAGGATTGGACCTAAGAAAGCAAAGTGCAGCAATTTCAGAAGGGGACAGATTAGAGTGGGAGAGAGGAGCAAAGAAGCAGAGAAATTGAGACAGCCAATATCACTTCAGCAGTTTTCAATGAAGAGATCAAGACTCCTCCAAAACTATAGCATAAACGCTGTCCCCACCACACTTCATCTCTGAAGAAGAATCATCTGGACTCAAAATATTAGCTCGCTCTCTTCACGCATGTGTCTGACCGCCAGCATTTGTTGGTTTCAGTAAAGATGTGTAATATTTGCTGGCCTGGTCAGTGTCATCCACACCCCATAAGTTATTAACGGCAATACACAGGCATTAAAAAACCCTCAACTCTTTAGGGATGTTATTACATACCTCTGGAACCCGGGCGTCCTGCATCAAAGGCAGGGTTATTTCCGCTGCACCACAAGGTCAGGCATAAACCGGCCTGGTTGACTCTTAGCCACAGTAATCTCACAAACCACCCAACTATACGGAAGAACAGAGAATGATGGACAGAAAATGGTGCATAAACACAGGAACTATTCAGTTTCCAATCATTCACCAAAATTAAATTAGAAAGCTACACTAATAATTCAGACTCTTGTCAATTTTCATGTTTTCACCATCCATTAAGCCTCGGTTAAATAGAGGCGTTATTCCGCCTTCTGGTGGCGTAGCCATTGTTCAGCTCTGAGGACTATGATTGGTCGTCCCCGGGAGAGGTGCCTGATTGGCCGGTTCCTGGGGCGGTGACTGGCCAACGGTTCAGAGGAAGGGTCACCAGACCCGAAACGTTAAACTTTTTTTTTCTTCACAGAAGCGGCCAGATCTGCTGAGCTTTTCCAGCAACTTCTGTTTTTCTGGTCAAAGGATGGTTTTGATCGATCAAATTCTGGGAGAGTTGATTGTTTGGCTCGGACGGTCGTTTTGACTGGTCGGCTCTGGGAGCATTGATTGGTCGATTTGGGCTGTAATTTTGATTGGTCAACAGAGGCAGCTGGGCCGCCTGCCAGTTTCGGGTCACTGAGCGTCGCTGTGTCTAACGTGTGCGGCCTAGGAAGGGGTGAGCCTTGGTGGTTAATCTCTGGCTGGGGAATTACTGGGGTTTATTCGTGAATGTGTGGCTGTTGATTATTGGTCTTACTGTTAACTTAATTCTGCTTTTCCGCTTTCAGAAGTCTACCCCGTTGCCAGATCTCTATGAAAACGTTATAAATCGAGCACTGTTTCTTTACTTTAAAGGAGTCGAGCAGGATGAGTGCTGAACGTAGTCTGTAAGTTATGGAGCGAAGTTTGTTTGCAAATCAGTCTATATTTCAAAATCTGGTTTTGGTCGTTAGAGATTTCGGAAAGTCATTAGTTGAAAGAGATTAAAGGGGTTTTTCAGGGCTTGATGGCTCCTTGAGCATCTCTGGGGAAACCATCCGCATCCTTGGATCTCTCCAGTTCTGGCAATCATATTCGCCCATCGAAGAAGTAGGTTGCTGGTTTGCCTGAATGTTTACGTTTGTTTTCTATGCAGAGACTCTATTTAAGACGAATTAGATTGAGACATCACCACCTCGAATTTGGCATTGCCAGGGCCGGCTCAGTTGCATGCCTGAATTCTGTGTTTGGTCTGACATGATGGACTTATTGACATTAAGTTTTAAAGTTGTTCAGTTACTTTAGTGATCTTGTTAAATTGCAAGTTATTGATCGGAAGTTATGGGGCTGGGAAATGTTAAGATTTGGTGAAGTAGACTAATTGTCCACCCTTCTCAAATATGGGAGGGAATGAAAAATAAATAGTGGACTTGAACTAATCTTAGACTCACGTACTACAAATCTAATTGTTCAATATAACTAAGTCACTATATTAAGAAAAACTGTCATTTGATCTCTTGGATTTCTCTAATGTGAATTAATTTAATGTTTTGTAATTACAGGGATGATGAGGATACTTTTAAAATTTTGATTGCAACTGACCTTCATTTGGGCTATTTGGAAAAAGATGCCATAAGGGGAAATGATACCCTTGTTACTTTTGATGAGATTTTAAGATGTGCACAGGAAAATGAAGTAAGTTACCACTTATAGTGTTAATGTTGCATAATAATACCAGGTATCATTCAAGCAATTTTTGCTACATCTCAGTCTGAATTCCTATGCTGTTTGAAGTCTATAGTTTATTTGAAATTCAAGTATATTATTGTCGTTAGTGCTATGATAATATTAAATGAGCTGCATGAATGTTTTAGTTAAGAGAATTAAAAAACGGCAAGTTACATTCATGTAGCAGAGGTGTGATGGAATAGAAACAGAGTTATGGATAGAGAGATTGAGAGGTATAAGTACAGAAGTTAAACCCCAGGCTGCTTGAGGCTACAAAAATGGAGAATGTTGAAGAATTGAAGCAAACGAGGCACTTGGTGACTTGAAGGCAGTGTTGATTATTGAAGCTGAGATACTGCCAGGAATGGGTATAGAATGAGTAAGTTTGAGACAATAGAGTTTTATATGAATTAAATTTATGAATGGTCAGCAGGGAATAATAGAGCTTCAGAGTGGCAGAAATGCATTTGACTACTTTGAGTTTTACACTTGCTGTTTCTGTTATAAATGGAAGGAGAAATTTCTTCTCCCAGAGAATGGTGAGCCTGTGGAATTCTCAGCTACAGAACGTGCATAAGGCTAAAACAATGAATATTTTCAAGGAATTAGATTTAGCTTTTGGGTTCTAAAAGGATCAAAGGATATGGCAAAAGAAGGAACAAGGTACTGAATAGAATGATCAACCATGATCCTATTGAATGGCAAAGCAAGCTGAAAAGGTCAAATAAATCAATTTAACATACTAAGGAACAATATGTCATAGAATTGAATGTAAATCAAAATCTGTATAATATATTCTTTGAATAGCAACTATAAATTTTATATGGCAAGTTGATCTTTGACCAAGCATATGATCAATCCACCTTTAATCACCCTTCGGTTTTTAGTATTTTCTTTCACATTGCAATGTATTTTGACTTTTTGTTCTGTTTTAAAGATGCTGTGTAGATATAAATTGTTAAATTTTGCTGACTTTGACCAGTGGCCCATGAATGAAAAGAATATTTGTTTTTTTTTGGCATATTTGGCATACGTCTTGCTACATTTAAGATAGATCTCCCACAGTTGTGAATTTGTTTATAAAATTCAATATTTTTGGGTTATTGACATGATCTTCTGTCGACCATACAGGTGCTGATTGTGAATTCAGTCATATTTACTTTAGATTTACTCCGAAGATTGTGTATAATATTTTTGTTCAAATGACCTTCATGCTTAACTTCTTGAGCGTAACAAAGTGGGGCAGGCAGGAGTTCATGGTTGAAAAATTGTAATTCAAAGCTGCTTTGTTTTCTTTCTTCACTACCTGAAAAGAATAATTGGCTTGACTGTACTAGAGCTGCTCTGAAATTAGCTGCTCAACACCAAGGATATAGCTTGGTCCAGAGAGCTGTTTTTCTGAGAAGCCATAGAAGTTCTGCTCAGCTGTTGAATTGAGAATTTTCATGATCAAATCACTGCTGAGTGCATTTGCACATACTGCTTCTGGCAATTGTTGCAATGTGTCATTTAATTAATCTAATATTTAGTGCAGGTTATAGTTATTGCAGCGAAACTGAAACTTTCTATTTATTTTACTTTGCATCAGCCAGAATTTAGAAAGAAATGTATTTTGTTCTATTTCTGTCCAACTCCTAGGTAGATTTTATACTGTTGGGTGGTGATCTCTTTCATGACAACAAACCCTCTCGTAAGACATTGCATACCTGTATGGAGCTATTGAGAAAATATTGCATGGGTGGTAATCCAATACGCTTCGAAATTTTAAGTGACCAGTCGGTTAATTTTGCTTTTAGCAAGTAAGTACTTCTTGATTTGTGCGTTTTAAGGTTATAGATAATCGAGTTTAGTTTTTCTGGTGTCTGACATAACTAAATTACCATTAATGAAAGGAATTATAAGTATTGAGAATCTTATGGCAGTTAAATAAACTTTGAAATCTAAGTGTTCTCATCATCTCTTAAGGTTTTTGACTTTTGAATTATTATTTTGTTACGCAATAATTTTAAGTACAAACTATCGTGGGTTGTTTTGGTAAAATAATCCAACGTAGGATCTGGGAATGATGAAAACCTCCTGGGATGGTGTCCGCTGATCGTATTTTCGTTCATGTACCAAAATCCGATAAACAATTAAATTGTTGGCTTGAGCAGGTATATTATGCCAAAGTGCTTATTTTTGCTGAGTAGCATGACAACGTCCTTTTAGGGTACTCTTAGTTTCATCATAAAATCCCTACAGTGTGGAAACAGGCCGTTCGGCCCATCAAGTCCACACCGCCCCTCTGAAAAGCATCCCACCCTGACCTATTCCCCTACCCTGGCATTTCCCCATGTCTAACCCACCTAACCTAAACATCCCTGGACATTACGGGCAATTTAGCATGACCAATCCACCGAGCCTGCACATGTTTGCGCTGTGAGAGGAAACCGGAGCACCCAGAAGAAACCCACGCAAACACCGGGAGAATGTGCAAACTCCACACAGTCGCCCAAGGGTGGAATTGAACCTGAGTTCCTGGCGCTGTGAGGCAGCAGTGCTAATCACTGAGTCACTGTGCCGCTAGAGCTGAGTTTGCTGAATTGGTTGAACAGGTGGGTTGAAAGTTTGCATTTCTAAATATTTATTCTGCCATTTTGGTGCCTATTTGGTTTTGTTCAATTTTGCTACATATTTGCTCAACTTTCTGTCCAATGATTTGCCAGTGCTTCATGTGCAGCGAACTATTTCACATTATTACAAGGGGGTCATGGAAGTTTCCTCTCTAAGTTTAAGAAACAGCTTCTTAATGGTTTATATACCTAGCTAAAACAAAATATGTTTGTGAGACAATTAACTTCTTAGTCTGCCTCTTATTTTTCTGTAAATAAATCTGTAGCTGGAATTTAACTTTCCTTCGAGGGTTTAAATCTTGATTTCTTGTCAGGATCACTTCATCTGCCTGTACAATTAGTGTAAATGAAATCAGCATCTTCGTTGCATAGGGGATGTCATTTTCCTTTCCATGCTGATGAAGCACTCTGTTGGTGCTGCATGCTTTTGGCAACATTGATGGTATGCTGCATTGTACTATACAGTATAATTGACTCGCAGATGCCATTTGGCTCGGCAAGCCACTCAGTTGTACTAAAACTGCTGAAAAAACATCAAAAGGAAGAAAACTGAATGGAGCATCACAGGAAGTGATAAATACATGCCTTTTGCAACTGATCCTATAAAGTCATCCTTCCTCACATCTTGTGATTTGTTGCAAAATTGGGAGAGATGTCTAGCAGACCAGCCAAGCAACAGGCTAACCTAGTCATACTGACTTAATCATATCTTTCAGCTAATGTCCCAGACATCTGTATCACCATCCGTCAGTGAGATGGTGTCTCACTGGCCCGTGTCACCATCAAGACAGATCCAACAGAGGCACAGTGGTATTCAGGAGGGAGTGACCCTGCGGTTCTCAAATTGATTCTGGATCCATTGAGTTTCATGGCATCAGATCAAAAATGAACAGTGAAACTTCCTGGTGATTGACTCTTACTTCATTTCCCTCAACAGTTGACTCAGTACTCCATCTTGAGCATGAATTGGAAGAAGCAGAGCAAGACATAGAATGTATTTCAGATGGCAGGCTTTAACCAAGGGGAAATATTGTTGCTAGACTATTAATCCAGAGACCCAGGTAACGTTTCAGGGAATGCATTTGAAGGCTGCTATGGCAGATGGTGGAATTTGAATTCAATAAAAAGAATGGAATTCATTTAATCTAATGGTGACCATGAAACCGTTGTCGATTGTCGGGAAAAACCCATCTGGATCACTAATGTCCTTAAGAGAAGGAAACTGCCATTCTTACCTGGTCTGGTGTACAGGTGACTCCAGAACAACAGGAATATAGTTGACTGTTAAGAGTTAGGGATACAATAGATGTAGCCAGCGACACCCACATCCTGTGAATGAATGAATGCCACCTCCAAGACTAGCTCAGATGTACCACTGCTAACCAAGTTGGCTGTATTCTGAAGGACATATGTTAAATTGAGCTAAATTGGTTTCATTGGATTGTGTTTTTTCTTGGAAAATACTACTTTTTGGGAAACACTGACTAATTTTCAACATTTATATTTAAGTGCCAGTGTTCTAAATATTGGCGTGTGGCACATCTAGATCTGTAACATCTTCAATTCTACAACTGGAATGTTGTCAGGATGCTTGCAGTATTCAGTGCCTCAGAAAAAAATTAAAAAGGGTGCCTTTGATGGGACTATTAAGTAGCACAGCAATAATCTCACCAGTTGCTGGAAAAGCTTAGCAGGTCTGGCAGCATCTGTGAAGAAAAAAATCAGAGTTAACGTTTTGGGTCTCGTGACCCTTCCTCTGAGGAAATGTTAACTCTGATTTTTTTTCTTCACAGATGCTGCCAGACCTGAGCTTTTCCAGCAAATTCTGTTTTTGTTCCTGATTTTCAGCATCTTGGTTTTCTTGGTTTTTGTAACCTCACCAGTGTTCAGTTTGGGATCTGTCAGGACTGCTGAACTCTCGGTCTCATTATAACCTTAATCCAAACAAGAATGAGTGTGTTGAATTCCAGAGGTGAGATAAAAGTGACTGTCCTTGACATCACAGTAGCAGTTGGTTATGTGTGGTATCAAGGAGCCCCAGCAAAACTGAAGACAATGAGAATTTGGTTGGCAGGGGTATGGTGGTGGGATAGAAACTCACCACTGGTTGGGGTCACATCTAGGACAAAGATGATTGTGGTTGTTGGAGGTCTGTCCAGCTCTAGTATATATCTACAAGAGTTCTTCAGGGGAGTGTCCTAGGCCCTGCCATTTTTAACTACTTCATCAAGCTCTTTCCCTTCTTCATATGTTCATAAGTGGTGATGTACATCCATGATTGTACAGTACTGAGCCAGTTCAAACACAAATGCAGCAAGACCGAGACAATATATTCAGGCTTGAGCGGATAATTGGCAAGTATCATTCATGCCACACAAGTGCCAAGCAAGTACCATTTCCATCAAGAGAGTATCTAACCATCACTTTGTAACATTCAATGGCATTACCATCGCAGAATCCCCCACTATTGACATCCTGGCCTTACCAAGGACCAGACAGGTAACTGCACCATTATAAATACTGTGGCTACGTGATGCTGGGAACTCTACAGCGAGTAACTTGTCTCCTGAGTCTCCAAAGTTGTCCACCATATACAAGGCAGAAGTTGGTAGTGTGATGGGATACTTTCCACTTGCCTGGATAAGTGCATTTCTAACAACATTCGAGAGTCGCAACACAGTCCAGGACAAAGAAACCAGCTTGATTTTATACTCTACCCACCACCTTGAACATTTACTTTCTCTGCAACCAACATGCCAACAAGTGTGTATTATCCATAAGTCGCACTCCAGCAACCTGCCAAGGCTCCACTCAATAGCATATTGAAACCCAGGATTCATTTCAGGACAATAATCTACAGAAACAGAGGTAGTAGGAACTGCAGATGCTGGGGAATCTGAGATAACAAGGTGTAGAACTGGATGAGCTGAGATTAACTAATTCAGCACAGACGGGAAATTGAACCTGGGGCTCTTCACAAAAATTAAGTGCAAACTATATAAAGTAAAACATAGTACAGCAAGGCCAATATTTCTTGCTTATTCTTAACTGGCCTTGTGAAGGTGGTGAGGAGCTGCTGCCTTGAACTTCTGTCAAAGGTACAGGTAGGTACAACCGCAGTGCTACTAAAGAGTTCCGGGACTTTGCATGACAGTGAAGGAACAGTGGCATGTGTATTGCTGAAAAAAGATCCATTTTATTGAAGCTTTTTATTTACATTTGTCAGGACAATTGACTAATATAAGAAACAACATTTATACTGCCTGAGAGGAGACTGCTGATTGGTTGGCAAGTGGACTCTGATAGAGGTGTTGTCAGGAAAATGCACCAATTAATAATTATTGACAGTTAGCCCCCAGGCTGTGATAGCAGAGATATGGTTCCAACCAAGGCTGATATGTGACTTGAAGGGCAGTTGCTCTAGTGCCTATACTGTTCTTGTCCTTCAAGAGGCCAAGATTGGTGTTTGGTTTTTTAACAAAAAACTAAAACTTTGTTGCTGTCTTAATTTTTTTATTACAGATTTCCATGGGTAAATTATTATGATGGAAATTTAAACATCTCTATTCCGGTTTTCAGCATTCATGGTAACCATGATGATCCTACAGGGGTAAGATTCATTTATTTTGCAAATTGAAGTTACAGAATCATAATGTTATATGGCTGTTGTAGACCAAAGTTGTAGTGCTTGACCGAAGACACAGTTTAACTAATGCTTAAAAGTTTGTGTACAAGTTGATGCCTTTTACTGAAAACTTGTAGAATTTGACAAGGGACATCTAGTGAAAGGGAAGAAGGACTAGTCTGCTTCATTATCTGAACTGTAATGAGGAGAGATTTCATGAAATCTTAGCATGATGACAGTACACTGGAGACCATTTGGCCTGCTGAATCCATACAGGCTCTCTGCAAGAGCAAATGAACTAGTTCCACTTCCTTGACTTTCTTCATAACCCTTGAAATTTGATTTCCCTCTGGTACTTATCAAATTTCCCTTGAAAGCCACAACTGAATCTGCATGTGCCAGTCATTTAGGCAGTACAGATAGATCAAAACGGCTCAGTGCATAAAATATGTATTCTTTCTAATTATTTTCAATCTCTGGCTCTTGACCCTATATTACTGAAGAAATGTTGGAGTTGCCCCTGTTAAAGAAGAATTTGGAGGATTTAAAAAAGAATATTCGTTGTAATCCAAGTTGCTGCTTGCAGCTTTATAATTTTATGAAATTGCATGTGGCAACACCACGTTTGCTCAGTAGAATGTGCTTTTAGATTGAGGAAAAGTAGTGCCTAGAGCAACAGCTTTAACCAACCTTGCAAAGAGTTAAGTGATATATAAAGGGAAGGGAATGGTAGCATTCCTGGGACCCCAAAAACCATGGGCCAGGTGAAGGCTCGGACAGTCAACATCTCTGAGGATCTGGCGAACTGAGAGCCCAGAAGCAGGTAGACAGGTGATGGAACTGTGAATGACTTGTGAGTAAGGTTAAAAGGAGCAGCAAGAGTACAGAGTTCTCAGAAACAGGCAACCCAGCAGTGGAGCTGCTTCTACAAAATCAAAGTGTAATGCCATAAAAGAGCAGCTGGGAGATTGGTGGGTATTTCTATCTTGTTTCTTTTGTTTGAATATTGATTTAAAACCATAAGTATAGTTTAAAACTTTACAAAGATCATTAATATTTTAGAACTTCAAAACTGAATTTCTTCACTTGAGAGAGTTAAGGGGTTCTGGTTACTTGTTTGATATTAACATGAATAAGATTCTTCTGGTCTTTTCAGAAACTATTGTAACATTTAAGCAATACCTGTATTTAGGTATTCACTTGTGTTGCCATTGCTTCCAGGCCTATAGGCCAACAGCTGGAAAATGGGATTAGTGTAAACTGATGCAGACATGACAGATCAAATGGCTTCCTGTGCTATAAACATCTGTGAGTCTGTGAGAAGGTAATAGCAAGTTATCAAATTTTCCAATCCCAAGCTACAAAATTGTAAGAAAGATGTAGTGTAGGAATTGACCTAAGGGCTGTACCTAGAAGAAGGCCGTATCCCACGTTGGTGCCAGAGGCTGAGGATCAACTTCATAGACCTGTTGGAGTAGCAGGCTGTACTGTCTTGTCAGGTGGTTGCGAACCTGTTGATCCTGGCTGAGGATGACCTAATTAGGCCATTAGGATTTGAATTGCATGTGGTCATCATAGTGACTTTTACGTTTCTTGCTTATTTCAGGGCTCAGCCATAAGTGTCCATCAAATTTTGTAATCAGCTACCCAGAAATGTATCAGTCAAATATCTTCTATCAAAGAGCATTCGAGGACATCAAGTTCAAAACAGATGCATTCAGTTAAGCTGTGAGGCACAGAGGCTTTGTGACCAGGGTGTTATCAATTGCCCCCACGTTGCAAACCACGTGACTACAAGCCAGCTAGGTGTATTGTTAATCATAAGGGCTTTGACTTTCCAGGGTGCAACTTGTACATAACCACCACAAGACAATTCTGCAAGCATGTGCATGAAGTTTCCGAAGAGTTGACTTTATCATCCAGTCTCCACTGCCTGGACTTTTCCCTTTTTTTAGCCTCAGTAGATGACTCCTTAGTATAAGGAGCACCCTATGAAGAACATGAATATATCACTGAGGCATGTGAGAGGTTATGTAGGTACTATTTAACTATCTGCACCACAATCCAGCAACTATTTCATTGCACAACATGTGGTTCAGGTGAATTGCTGGACCAGCAATAATTGCCCATCCCTAGCTGCCCTTATGAGTGTGCTGGTGAGATGCCTTCTTGAACTGCTGTAACCTGTTTCGTGTAGGTAGATCCACAATGCTGTTAAGGATTCTGTTCTAAGATTTTGACCCAGTGACACTGAAGAAAATATGACGTATTTCTAAGTCAGAATGTTGAGTGGTTTGGAGGGGAACATGCAGGTGGTGGTATTCACACATATTTGCCAACCTTCTGTTTCTAGTTGGTAGTGATCATGGGTTTGTAGTGAATTTCTGCAGTACATCTTGTAGATTGTATACATTTCTGCTGCTGAGCATCAGTCATGACTCTATGATGGAGATACTGAATGTTTGTTACACAGTGTGAACCAAGCAGGCTGTTTTGTCTTGGGTGTGTCAAACTTCTTGAATGTTGTTGGAGATGCACTCATCCCTGGTTATGGGGGAGTATTCCATCATACTCCCTGATGTTTTGTACATGGTGGACAGGCTTTGGAGAGCAAGGAGTTAAGTTACTTGCTGCAAGATTCTTAGCCTCTGACCTGCTCTTGTACCTACAGTACTTAACTTCTCTTGAAAGTCATGCTGCAGAACCACTGCTTGGCCAATTGTAATTCTTTGAATTTGTAAGGAGAAAGGCACAAGTATTGTTCCAGTGAGTGCAGGGTGGTAAGGCAAGAGGTAATACTTTACTACCTGTAGTTTGTAAATGATAAGAAATTGAATTGAAGTTAAAGGGAGTTGTGCAAAGCGAGTTTAAGTAAGAAGATAGTGTTATGGACCAGATCAGATCCCCTCAAAATATTTTAAGAAGGTGGCCTAGACCCTAGCATTTTCTTATTTTAAAGGCAAATATAACCTGTTGTGTTCTAGGTGAAATTTGATTGGTCAAACTACTCGACGTCAAGCAAAATACAATTTATTCAAACACTGCAGTTAATACAACACAAGAAAGAAGAACTTAGAATAACATAAATCTATTGGAAAACTTAACAGAATAACAGATACAGTAACTATTACTCATTAACTGTTCCCATATAGTAACATCCCATAAACATACCCTTTGCAAAAAGGCAAATTCAGAAAAATAGATTTTGTCTCACATGCAATGTAGCAGCCCCCCCCCACCTCCAAGCTTTTGGCTGTAATGGAGACAGGGGGAAAGAGCTTCCACTTCTTCAAGCCCACAAAAGCAACTGCTTATAGCTAAACTTAAAAACTAAAGAAAACTAGAAATCCTGGTCTGTGAGAGCTGGCCACACCTATCCAGGCTGCTTCGCTTGTGCCAACTTGTTAAAAAAAAACCAAGACCTCACAAGCTGTTTACTGTAGTGGTTTTGGTAGACTGCTTTGCGCCTTCGCCTTACAGCCTCTCTCCCAAAAAAAGCCAAGACAAAATAACCTCTTAAAGCCACAGCATTGTCACACTTCCCACCCCTTAAAAAAACTATCAATATGCCAATATGGCTTCATTTTTAAAAATCTTTAGTCTCATCAGTGTATGTATATATACTTCAATATATATATACATTACATTGACTCTAAGCATACAAACATTCTCTACTACAGTTGATTTCAGTCTGTTTATTCTCGTCACCAAACGCCTCCATTTTTCTTCATCAAAGTTGCGACAGCACATTAGCAATTATATTCTCTTGTCCTGCCACATATATAATTTTCAAATTGAATGGCAATAATAAGCTCCATCTCAACAATCTGGAATTCTTGTCCTTAAATTTCTCCAAAAACTTTAATGGGTTATGATCACTGTATACAATTGTCTCAGACACGTATAAATGTTGAAATGTTGTAAGGCCAACACCAAGTTCGAGGTTTCCTTTTTCAATCGTGGAATATTTCCATTGATGATTATTCAATTTTCTGAAAAAATACTCAGTAGGTCTTTGTATCTTCTCATCATCTTCTTGTCAGAGTACAGCTCTGACACCCATATTAGTCACGTCGATAGTCACCTTGAATGGCTTTGTTTAATTAGATGTGGCTAACACTGGGGCAGTGACTAACAGAGCTTTCGAGCTGTCAAATGCCTTCTGACAGTCCTTCGTCCACTGAAATTTTTTGAAGTTCTTCAATAAGTCAGTCATGGAGCAACCACGCTGCTAAAATTTGGTATGAAGTTCCAGTAGAAACCACGCAATCCTAAGAATTGTAGTACTACCCTCTTTGGTGATGGTATGGGAAACTCCACAGTAACCTTTGTTTTCACATCCCTTGGGGGCCATCTGTCCATACCCAATGACATGGCCCAAAAACTTGACTTGGGCATTCAAGGTTTTTGAGAAGATTTGTAGCTCGGGTTGTTGATGCAGTTGTTGACTTTCTCGCCAGCTGGTAAGTTTATTTACAGGCATTTCGTCACCATCCTAGGTAACATCATCAGTCTTGCTTGCTATTATGTGCCTTGGTTTTCTGGGGTGGGTGACATCACTTCCAGATTTGTTTCTTAATGGTTGGTGTATGGGGTCCTGCTCTACATGTTTGTTAATGGACTTCTGGGTGAGGGCCAGGCCTCCAGGAATTCTTGTGCGTGCCTTTGGTTGGCTTGTCCTAGGATGGCTACATTGTTCCAGTCGAACTGGTGTCCCTCTTTGTCCATATGTATTGAAATGAGTGATAGTTGGTCATGTCTCTTGGTAGCTAGTTGGTGTTTGTGAATCCTGATGGCTAGTTTTCTTCTGGTTTGCCCTATGTAATGTTTTTGGCAGTCTTTGCATGGTCTCTTGTAAATAACGTTGGTTCTGTTAGTTGTGGTTGTCGGATCCTTTATTCTCGTCAGTAGCTGTTGTAGAGTAGCTGTCGGTTTGTAGGCTACCATGATTCCTAGGGGGTGGAATAATCTGATGATGTTACCTA